AACAGCACAGGAATGCGAGGGCAGTTTTCTCGCAGAGGTGCTTGCAGCGATCATTGTTCCTGCACAGGGCTACAGGACACAGAGACCCAGGAACCTCTCAGAGGCAGAGCAGACTGGCAGCCATTGCGGTTTGTTCCCCCTTGATGATTCCCTGAGACCCTGTCCCACCCAATTTACAACCCCACCCAAGCTGTGAGCAGAGGCTTTTGCATATGAGTGGTCTGTTCTTTTGCAATCTAAAAACTAACAAACAGCTGCTGGGTCAAAGAGCCCCAGAGCTTCCAAAAGAAGGCCTAAGGCTCGACAGCAGCCTGCAATGCTTCACTGCCAGGCCTCATCTGGGCACTTCCAAACACCAAACAAAGAGGAGGAATTTGCAGATCTCTCTGTAGCTCCTGCTGGGTGGCCTCAGGCAGTGGCTGACTTTTCACCTCCTTGGAGATCCAAGAGCCAGTGTACCCAGTGGTCAGAGTGAGACGATACCAGAGTACAATTCTTCACATCCATAAACGACACACTCAAGAGGCAGACTCAGTGAGCACCAAAGCCCCACTGAAGCAAGTCCTGCTCCATAAGGCTGTCTCCACCACAGAAGTTCTCCCATTGAAGACACAGCTGGTCCTCACAGCCAATTGGCCTGGAGGTCAATTCCTCCCAGTGATACCAACAGCAATCAAGACTTAACTACAAGACTGTGCACACAGCCCACAAAGGGGTGCACCAAGAGTGTCAACTGCAGGTAATTAGGGAGGCTGAGCCACTGGGCTCTATAGGACACCTAGCACACAAAGCCACTCTGTCAACACAGGGAAACAGCCAAAATGCTGAGACAAAGAAAGATGTCAAAAATAAAAGAAATGGAGGAAAGCAAACTACTGGATATAGAGTTCAAAACCACGGTTATAAGGTTACTAAAATATCTTCTAGAAATCTCCGAAAAATTTAGTGAGACCCTCAAGGATATGAAAAAGGAGCAACTAGAAATTAAGCCTACACTGACTGAAATAAAGAGTAATATACAGAGATACAACAGCAGACTAGAGGACCCCAAGAATCAGGTCAAAGATTTGAAATACAAAGAAGCAAAAAACACCCAACTGGAAAAGAAAAAAGAAAAAAAGAATCCAAAAATATGAAGATAGTGTAAGGAGCCTCTGGGACAACTTCAAGTGTACCAATATCCGAATTATGGGGGTGCCAGAAGAAGAGAGAGAGCAAGATATTGAAAACCTATTTGAAGAAATAATGACAGAAAACTTCCCCTACCTGGTGAAAGAAATAGACTTACAAGTCCAGGAAGCACAGAAAACCCCAAACAAGAGGAACCCAAAGAGGACCACACCAAGACACATCATAATTAAAATGCCAAGGGCAAAAGACAAAGAGAGAATCTTAAAAGCAAAAAGAGAAAAACAGTTAGTTACCTACAAGGGAGTACCCTTACGACTGATTTCTCAACAGAAACTATGCAGGCCAGAAGGGAGTGGCAAGAAATATTCAAAGTGATGAATAGCAAGAACCTACAACCAAGATTACTCTACCCAGCAAAGCTATCATTTAGAATTGAAGGTCAGATAAAGAGCTTCACAGATCAGAATAAGCTAAAGGAGCTTATCACCACCAAACCAGTATTATATGAAATGCTGAAGGGTATTTTTTAAGAAGGGTAAGAAGAAGAAAAAGGTAAAGATAAAAATTTTGAACAAATACGTATCTATCAATAAGTGAATCTAAAAATCAAGTGACTAAAAAAGTCTGATGAACAGAATAAACCGGTGAATATAATAAAATCAGGGGCATAGAAAGGGAGTGGACTGACAATTCTCAAGGGGAAGGGGTTGTGGGGGGTGAGGGAAGAGACTGGACAAAAATCGTATACCTATGGACGAGGACAGTGGGGGGGGGGAGTAAGGGCATGGGGCAGGGTGGGAACCGTGTGGAGGAGAGCTATGAGGGGGAAAAAAGAGGAACAACTGTAATAACCTGAACAATAAAGATTTATTAATAAAAAAAGAGTTGCTATTATCATTCCAATAACACTATAATGCAACATTGCCTCACATACACATTTGTCTAATCCAGTGGTTTTCAACCCTTCTGGAGACATTTGGCCAATTTTCATTTTGAGACCTTTTTCGTTCTTACACTTGGAAAAGGGTACTCTTGGCATCTAGTGGGTAGAGGCCAAGGTAGCTGCTAAACAAAATACAATGACAGGACAGCACCTACAATATATAATTATCTGGCTCAAAATATCAATAGGGCCAAGAAACACTATTTCTTCATAGCTAGCTGGGACATGGTGACAAATACAGGGAGTTAGAGATAAGTACTCTTCTTACAGACCTCCTATGAAGCTACGCAACTTAGAGTTCTAGAGTTTACTTGATATTTACATAGACAAATAAAAGTTTCCAATTAAGTAATTTTCACTTGAAGTATTTTAGGGAGAAAATGGAGCCCAGAATTCTAGCCATAGTATCAATCAGTGTGCCATCTATATCTATTAGCTTATAACATCTACCTTAAAAAAGTTCATAACCAAACTGGCTACTGCTGGCTCTATGTATTATAAATTCATATTTTTCTGTATTTAGGAGTTAACTGAATTTCCCATGACCACCCACCAAAAGCAACCAGTCCTCAGATTTCAGCAGTGGGTTTTATATGGTCATTTTCTCAGGAAAACATTCGTATCTGAAATTCCCTTTCTCTGATGTTATAGTCCATTAAAACTTTACTGTCCAGCTCCATGAAATTTAAAAGCCAGAATGGGAAAGGAAGGTGATTTGGACTGTAAACTTAAAGGCAGCAACAACAACAACAAAAAATGTCTTCTATAAAAAGTAAAGGGTGTTGGTGATTAAATGAAATAAAATAGACAAAGGCTGAAATGGTCCCTATAAAAGTAGCAAAGTCCTTAGAGGTTATTTTATTTCCCAGTAAGATTCCTTGGGTGTTTCACAAGAAAGTCATTTTTCTGGTGAATTTCCAAGTATGCTAAAGACATTTACTTGCCTATTTTCTAGCTGTTACTCTAAAAGAAAAAGTTTAAGTTATGAAAAAATTCAGTTCAAATTTAAAGGAATCACACAGGGTTTAGCAATCCATTTTGAAACCATCAGATATATCTGAGAGAAAGAAAAGCATTGTATTAACAGACAAAAACCCATCTGAATGTGAAGTTTCTCAAGCTAACAAAGCAGGAATGTAGAAACATGTTTACCCATTGAAGTCTTCTTAAACACTTAAAGATGAAGATAGGCCCTGGCCAGGTGGCTCAGTTGTTTGGATCCTCCTCCTGTGCACCAAAAGGGTGCAGGTTTGATTACTGGTCAGTGTACACACCTAGTTTGTGGGTTCCATGAGTGGTTGGAAATATAAGGAAGGCAACCGATATTTCTCTCTCACATTGCTGTTTCTCTCTCTCCCCCTTCCTTTCTCTCTAAATATAAAAAAATTATATACATATATATCTCCCCCCTCAGGTGAGGATTTTAACGATAAAGACAAAACTATTACTTCTGAGTTTAAGCCTGAAAGTGTTACAGAGTAGGAAAATTTTTAGGCCTGCTTAATTACCTAGCCACCTCAGCAGCTTGACAGCCTGTACAAAGTTTCTAGGAACTGAGCTCACACACCTGAGCAATGGCCCACAAAGAACAAACAGATCAACACTCCTGGGCAACAGGCCCATAAAGAACAAACAGATCAAAATTAAGAATAGTCCTTACCTTTATGTTACCCAGAAATGAATAACAGGAGGATGATGAATAGCTTGGCTAAAACTACGCAATTAGCTTTTGTAACTTGGCTTTGCTTGCTATGGGAACCTGAACACAAATGTAGTTGTCCCCTTTAAATATTGGACTCTGCAGATGGTCGGGGCCGCTTCTCTCTTGGGCTTCCCGAGTGGAGGAGCGGACACTGGCCAGTCAATAAAGGCTCTCTAAATTTCAATCAGTCTGGAGTTCTGGTCATTCTGTCGCTCGCACTCCACAACAAAAGCAAAATTCGAGCAGAAAAGTGGCCTATGTACTTACCAAAAAAAAGAAAGAAAACAAAAGTGCCAAAATGATCCAAATTAAAAAAAAATAAAGTATAGCAGGACATTTACATGCAAGATCTAATTTCAGATAATTGATCCTATAGTTAAAGCACAAAAGTGGAAAACTGCAAGGATACCTCATGTGTGACAAATGGCAGCAAAGTTATGTTTAAACAAACATGTGGTGAGACTGTCTTTAATCTAGCTAAATGTAAAAAGTGTTGTTTTACATGAACTTGACTATTCACTGCAATTCCAGCTTCTGAAAATAAGAACCAGCACCAGGTTTAGGAAAAGGGCAGCTAAGGGGAGAATCTGTGTCCACAGCTTCCCCTTCAAATCCCCAAGGAGGAAAGCTGCTGCTTAAAGGTATTGAGTAGCTAGGCAGCCCTACTGAAAACAACCAGTTTTGAGCGTTGTTTTTGGCAAGAGGTTATGTGTTACTGGCTTCTTCCTGGGGCGCTTGGAAGGAATGTGTCACCATCAATCAGAAAGTACACTGTTTAGGTCAGGGAAGGAGTACTGCCTCGTCCAACACGGATAAATCATGCACCTCCAGGAAAGGAGGAGAAAGGAGAGTTGTAGGAAAGGTGTTGGTGCCTAGGGACCTGCAAGACCAAAAGGAAATTCCGACTTGCAGTACAAAAATTCTTGCGCTCAGGTTACTGGGAACTCCAGGAGCAGCTAGGGCGGGCACCCCCACTCTGCCCCAGGGACCAGCAACGCGGAGAGCGGTTCTGGAGGGGTCCTACGCGGTCTGGGGCGGAGGAGCAGTCTGTCTCACTCACCTTGGAGGGCCTGGGGAGCACAGAGTATCCACTGACCCCTGCGGTGCTGGGAGGGACGGGCTACCCACCTACTCACCTGGCAAGGCCAGCACCAAGAGCTGAAGGATGAATGGGCTGCCCCCAGCGAACCTCACCAGACGGGTGCTGACCGCGGGAGTGCTCACCTGTGGGGATGCTGGAGGGCTTCTCCGAGTCTGCACCTAAGCAGGGACTCCAGGGCTGAAGGAGGAGGGCCAGCAGCAGCAGCTGACACTTCACGGCGCAACCCCCCATCTTCGGCCTCTCGAAGGCCCGCGCGTGCTCGGGCACCCCCACCTCCCGGCGGCGGCGAACTTCTCGCGAGAGCGCGTAGAGTCCAGGTCCTCCCCGGCCGACAACCATGGCGACTGCGGCCCGAGCTAGCGAGCCAAGTGCGGGCAGCCGGAGGGAAGCCAGGATCGGTCCTTCGCGGAGGCGCCCCGGGCGCGGCGGCGGGGAATTTATAGGCTTCCCCAGGGGGAGGCGATGGGGCGGGCCGCGCCCTGGCTATTGGCCGCCGCTGAGCCGCCGCGCCGCTGCCTGCGGCCCGTGCAGTCCGTTTCCGGCCCCACGTTGGGGGACTGTTTGCTCCACGCAGACCTATTTAGGGACCGTCTGCGGCTACGTGTAGAGGCGCACGCAGAGCTTCTGGCTGGAACCGGGAAGTGTGTGCTTATTTTGGGAGTGGGCCTGCGAGCACGGGGAGGAGCCGCGGGCGGGCGGGCAGAGTTCCCCTCCTGCCTCTGCTGCCCCAGCACCAGACGCTTTCTTTCCGTCAGCCTCTAAGGGTGAGACTTGGCTCTTCTCTGCATTTGGATACTAGCCTTGTCAGAAATGACTATAAATCCTCAGCAATCTTGGAGGAAGGCATCTCGCCAGATGCTAGCATAGAAATGAATCCCTCTACTCCTCCCCTGTTAAATTCAGGGGTCAAGTTTTTTCTCCCTGGAAAAGGAAGGCCCTGTTTTGATTGCTATGTAAACCGAACGTTTTTACTGTCCGGTGAACGTTTCTTCTCCTCCAGTCCCAGGAGAGCCATAGATAGTGGCTTGTAAATCCTGCTTAATTGGAGGCCAGAGGTGCAACCTGGGGCTATGCCTTACAAGATCATCCTTCAATCCACCTGGAAAATTGCTCCCAGAGATCTCCGAGCCAGCTCTCGGCTCCTTGGCGCGTCCTCCCCTGCTTCCAGTTTTTATTCATCTCTAAGCAAATTTCTTTTTTCTGTATTACTTCTCAACATTTTAGCTACTCCAGTGTTTATTCTGCTGGAATGAGCAGGGGCAAAAACACAAAGGAGAAAGCGTGAAGATGTTGCCTCATATATTTCGTGACATGAGCTGTTTAAAGGGACAAAAAAACTCAGATTGGCAGTCTGGCAGTATTCTACCTCTATCTTCCTTTAAAAAGGTGGGGAAGCCTGATTTGAGCCAATACCCTTTCCTACTGAACTTTTGAAGTTAAAACAAATTATTGAAAAAGATATGTCCCAATTTGATCACATTTTGTCTAAAACTAGCATGATATGGGGGAGGGGTGGGTGAAGGTGGAAGAGGGCATAGAGTGCATAAATGGTGATGAAAAAAATAAAATTAGCAGGATAAAAATAAAAAAAGGTGGAAGCCCAAGCCAGGTAGCTCAGTTAGTTAGTGTCATCCCAATACACCAAGATCACAGGTTCGATTCAGGTCAAGAATCAACCAATGAATGCATAAATAAGTGGAACAACAAATCTCAATCTCTCTCTCTCTCTCTCTCTCTCTCTCTCTCTCTCATCAATCAAATAAAAACAGGTGGAAAAACCTGCAAAGAAATGTTGCCTGGGGTGTGACATTTTAGAAAAGAATAATTTCCTGTGCCCAGAACTAAGCCAGTTGTTACAGTGTTTTGAAGGTTTGGTCTCAGTTTTTTCAAAGAAAAATTGGAGAAAGTTCAGAGAAGAGTAACAAGTAATTAAATGGAAAGTATGACCTGTGAGAATCAAATTAGGTTTATTTAGAACGAAGGAGAAAAAGCTAAGAGATGGATTCCTTAATAATCTTCAGTGTGTGGCCAGCGCCACTCTATAAAACTAGGCAAACCCTGACTGGTGTGGATCAGTGGTTGAGCGTCAATCTATGAACCAGGAGGTCACGGTTCAATTCCCAGTCAGGGCACATGCTGGGCTTGTAGGCTCGATCTCCTGTTTGGGGCATGCAGGAAGCAACAGATCAATGATTCTCTCTCATCGATGTTTCTATTTATCCTTCACCCTTCCTCTTTCTGAAATCAATAAAAACATTTTTAAAAAACTAGGCAGAAAGCAAATAGCATTAATCCTCTGAGTCTGAATTCTCTGCTACGAATGGCTGGTCTTTTGGCCAAATCTCAGCCTCCTAACTTGTGTAATGGGTCAGACTCTGTCAAACTCCTTGAACTTGATTTCTTGCTTTCCTTTTGTCCAGTTTCTTCAAGAACTTGCATGGTTAAAACCTAGCTTTTTGCCTTCCCTCATGCCCTCATACTCTCATGCACAATTACAGTCTCTCCACATCACAGTACGTGTGTGCTTCTATTACAAAGTCTGCCAAGCATTGCAGGTTACCATGACATTCACCCTTCTCTATTGAGAGTCACAAGGTGAGGATTGTAAGAATTGTATAAAGCAAGTGTTTCTTTGGGATTTTCAAAACAGCCGAACACGTGTATCACCATCTGAAAGAGTCCCAATTCAGAAACAAAATCCTTCCTGCCTTCTTGTATTTCCAGCTGTCTACTGAACATCTCTACTTGAACATTCCACTGGCACAAAGTGCAAATGTCTTTAATTCATCAAATCCAGATCCCACTCACAGTTTCCTCATCTCTATTAATGACACTTCTGCTCTCTAACATACATGGACCTGCAACACAAACAGCCCTGCAGTACACACAGCTTGACAACTAATCTTGCATTTTTTTTTCTTTCACATTTTCTCTTCATCTGTTCTTTTCCATGCTCACTGCCACCTCACTAATGCATTTCTGAATATAGCCTAACTATGCTGTTGGAATTGTTTCCTCCCTGTAGATTCTCCTTGCCTCCAATATTATACCATTAGATGCCACGGCTAGATTCATCAGACACAGATATCCTTTTGATTACCTCATCCCCAAACTCAAAGATTTCATAAAGAATTTGGAAACAATCCAAATCCCTTAACCTAGAATTCAAGTTCCTTTGCTATCAAACCTAATCACCTCAGATCCTATAACCAGCCAATCTGGTTTGCTTTATTATCTCCCAAAGACTTTTGTCTTTTTTTTTTCTCTAGAGTTTGGGTAAGAATCACTGTCTTCATTTGGGTTCTTCCAGAGGCCAACCCTGAACCAAGATTTAAAAACCACCAGTTTGCCGAAGCTGGTTTGGCTCAGTGGATGGAGTGTCGGCCTGCGGACTGAAGGGTCCCGGGTTCGATTCCGGTTAAGGGCATGTACCTGGGTTGCGGACACATCCCCGGTGGGAGATGTGCAGGAGGCAGCTGATCGATGTTTCTCTCTCATTGATGTTTCTAGCTCTCTATCCCTCTCCCTTCCTCTCTGTAAGAAATCAATAAAATATATTTAAAAAATAGATAAATAAATAAAAACCACCAGTTTGTTGAGAGTTTGAAGGAAAAGGGGTAGTTGAAGATAAAGTGATACAGGAAAGGGAAGTTAGCCAGTAATGGGTGCATTATTAAATCTAAGACAGGTGACTAGAGCTTGCTTTTGTTCATATTATCTATCTAAAAAGCTCTTCTCTAAAATTCTCCTCCTCCCATCATTAGGCTAACTTCCTCAGACTCAGATGCCACCTCCTACAGGAAGCCCAACTTGAGTACCTCACCCTACCCCCTGTTCCATGCTTACTCTTTAAACAAACATCTCTCATGTTTGACATATTTTTATTTGTTTATTGGCAGAGGGCAGGATTCAATTTTTTTCAACACTGTATACTAAATAACTGGCACATAATAGCATGTATTCATTCACTGATTAAAAAACAGTGTACCTGCATGCCTACTATATCTCATTGTTCTAGATTCTGGTAAAACAAAAATATATACTTTTTTAAATCCCTGTTTTTATAGAGATTTTGCTCTTGTATAATTAAAATAAGTGCTGGCAAGGATGGGGAAAAAAAGGAACTCTCGTGCACTGTGGGTGGGAATGCAGACTGGTGCAGCCACTGTGGAGAACAGTATAGAGTTTCCTCAAAAAACTAAAAATGGAACTCCCATTTGACCCAGTGATCCCACTTCTAGGAATATATCCCAAGAAATAAGAAACACCAATCAGAAAGGATATATGCACCCCTATGTTCATAGCAGCACAATTTACCATAGCTAAGATTTGGAAACAGCCTAAGTGCCCATCAGCAGATGAGTGGATTAGAAAACTCTGGTACATCTACACAATGGAATACTACACTGCGGTAAAAAAAGAAGGAATTCTTACCATTTGCAACAGCATGGATGGAACTGGAGAGCATTATGCTAAGCAAAATAAGCCAGTCAGAGAAAGATAAATATCACATGATCTCACTCATTTATGTAATATAATGAACAACATAAACTGATGAACAAGAACAGATCCAGAGACAGAGAAGCATTGATCAGATGCTCAAACCTCAGAGGGAAGGTAGGGGAGGAAGGAGGTAAAGGGGAGAGATCAACCAAAGGATTTGTATGCATGCATATAAGCATAACCAATGGACACAGACACCAGGGAGGTGAGGGCATGAGTGAGGGGAAGGGGAGGCAATGGGGAGATAAGGACACATATGTAATACCTTATTCAATAAAGAAAAAAAATTTTCTAAATAAATAAAATAAAATAAAAAATAAAGAGATCCTATAATAAAAGGGTAATATGCAAATAGACCAAATGCCAGAACAACCAATCTTAGCATGCTAATGAGATGCTAAGGCTGCTCAACCACCCGCTATGACATACACTGACCACCAGGGGGCAGATGCTCCAACCAGTAAGTTAGCTTGCTGCTGGGGTCCAGCTGATTGGGACTGAGCTAGATGGGCCAGACACGCCCTGGAGCCCTTCTGTGGTCTCTCGATCGTGCACAGGTGGGGTCCCTCAACCTGGCTTGCGCCTTCTCGCAATCCAGGACCCCTCAGGGATGTCAGAGAGCCAGTTTCAGCCCGATCCAGCAGGCCACTCCCCTTGGGAGGGTGCCAGATGCAGGGCTCATGGCTGGTGAGTGTTGCTACAGCAGCGTGAGCCTCTCCTGATAGGGACTGATTTGGCGCAAGCCCATGGCAGGTACAGTGGGGCCGGGATGAGCGGGAGAGGCAGGTTGGAGCTGCAGGCAGTGTTGGACTGCAGGTTTTAGCTCGATCCCTGCAGGCCACCCTGAGGGACCTCACCCATGCACAAATTTTGTGCACCGGGTCTCTAGTAAAAATATAATAATGGAAGTGATAGAGAGAAAATA